TCTGAAGAGATGCGGTGCCACAGGTGGATGTGTGTGCAGGTGTGTGCATGTGTTTGTACGAGTCATGCACACATCTCTATTTTTTCTACGTGTACAGATTTTACAGAATGTATTTAAAATCTGTAGGCATAAATACAGCAATATGTGGATATACAAACAATATGTATATACACCTGTATGTGTATATATATACAACATATATCTATAGATACATTCACACACCTATAGGAATACACACACCTTTATGGGTATATACACGCAGTATATATGCACATACCAATATACACGCACTATATATGCATATGTACACACTGTATATATAAACACACATCTGGATATATACGTCTCTGCATGTATATACACACTGTAKATACATATATAAAACATATGTTCACACACYCCTATATATGTTCTATTTGAACAAGTTTTGTAAAGTGTACTTTTAATGTTAATGTCAGCTCTGAGTCGATGGTTTCTTACATTGCCTGAAGCTTTCATTTAAAAACCTTGGTTCCAAAGACAGGTGTAGGCTCTCCTTTATAAATGTGTACATTTTCTGAGGATCGCTATTAAACATTTCTATTAGAGTGCTTCCTCCACTAACTGCAATGATTACTCCATATTTTTTTCGATAACTCCAACCACCAGCTATAACCATGCTTTCTTCATTTATCTGCTCTGGCTAACTGGAAGGTTGGRTTACTTCTTTCTGTAACAGAATATTTCCCCTCTACTCCCTGACACAAAATTTACAGAAGATTATAATTTTCCCTTGAATTTATATGTATATTTTATGTTGTCTACTTTTTGTGCATTTATCTTTCCATTCTTTAAAAATGCAAGTATTATTTGCTTATAGCACTAAAAATTGCTTTCCAGAATAAAAGACTGTTCCTGTTGCATCTAGACAGCCTTTCTCATGCCTGGACAACGTATCTAAATTACTGCTGTTTTCTGATGACTCACAAAGTATGTGGAAAATAAAAAGAAGACCACAGTCCATGATGATAGCTATTTAGAAAATTATGGGTAACAGGGGAGTGCAAAAGAAAGTCATAGAAGGAAATCAAGCCTTCCAGATATGTTAGCTCCTTTCTGCCATGCAAAGGTTTGGTTTGGTTGCAATAAGACACAGAAATTGTTCCCACGTTCCCAGTACATTCTTGGTTTAAAGAAATCCTTTTGCTCAAGGAAAGAGTGCTATTCTTAGCCATCAAAGCAGTGAAGCAAAGGGAAGATTTCACATGATTCATTCAAATAAAAACTGAAGGACCTAATGGACAAGCATAAAAATACCACAGTATGATGCCTGCTCCCTCAGCCCTTGTCTGCATTTTCTAGTGTGAGTTGGGTATTAGTCCTAGGAAGCTACACAGTGAGCCCTACTCATGGGGGACTGAAAGATGGGGATTTTTTTTCTGTCCACATCCACGGTAAATCCACTGTGTGTTCCCTGCTAGGTAAATTCTTGATGAAATCTATGGTGAGCARGGTTAATCAGTTTGCTCTGGTTATTTTGACATATGGGCAAGACTGTTTTCTGTCAGCTACAACTCACTGCATCCCTTAGACACGTAATCCAACAGGGACAGGCAGGTCCCCATGCTGATGTCAATGCCAAAGCAAGGACAGTCAGTGTGCAKCTCCTGCAGAAAGCACAGCTCACCCACACTGCTCAGACAGCTCAATTTAAAGCCTAAAGTCTGAAGCCTAGAACTGCTACAGGCAGGGAGGGAAGTCAAGGCCTGTACCTGTGTGAAACCTATCACTTCATTATCCAACTTATTAAACYGAGAGCTGCTTAACCGAAAGAAATATGTACAAGCAGAAAGCTTGGATTTGTTGCTTAATTCTCCATTTTCAGGGATGAAAGATGTTGGCTGTTTTTGGAGGGCATGTGCCAAAAGAACTGAAATCAGTGGAGTTACGCCAGGGGTGAATTTGGACTTTCAAAGAAAAACTGCAAAAATCACAAGACTGCTTGAGGCAGAGACCTCATGCAAGTCATATGAGCTGTTATTACAAACACAGAGGGATGAAGAAGAGTGAAGGAGAAAAAGAGTTTAATTTAAATGGGACAACATGGGAGACATGCTGTGTGTAAGTGCTGTCAGACCAGGATGCTGCAGCTGCTGTTCAGAGGGAAGGGTCTCCCAACAAATCCAAGGCCTTCAGCACGTGGAAGAACTGACTACAGCAGAGGTATTTAATAYCACATTGTGATACTTCTGCATTGAGATAGGCTAAGGCTGGCTGCTTCCACTTGTGGGAGTGCAAAGCTGTCACATTTGCTTCTAACCAGACAACATCAAACTTTGCAGCTTCAGGCTTGTGAAGCTACTGAAAGAGGAGTTTGTACCTTAGATGACAATAAATGCTTTTGATGTGATGAGCAGGAAAAGAAAATTGCACTCCAGGGAATTCTGTGCCAATGAGGGACTGTAAAACAGGGAGGCAGCCAACAACCTATGGTTCTGGAGGAGGCAGCATGCCATCCTGTGTTGTCAAATTATAATCCATTCAATRAAACTGCTCAGGAGGAGTTTGCAGCCTGCCTGCCATYCATTACTACCTTTTTTAGWGTTGTGTAGTGTACAGCACTGTTAYGCTGTWTGGGCCAGWTTATCAGGCTATGTAAATTATACAGTGGTGAGGAAGGAGGTGAGGGGCGAGGAATTAAGGGGGAGAAGAATACATAAATATAAACCTCCTGAAATTTCACTCCTGCATTTGGTTTTTAGTCCCTGACCTAGCAGGTTAATATTTAGAGACTCAGAAATCAAGGGTAAGGGGGAATATCATGCATTTAGAATGATACTGGCAGAAGTATTCTCTGCAGCTACAGCAGCTTTATCTTCTGAGTGAGTGCTGCCATTTACCAACATGGAACTACACAGACAGTTGCTCCCCTTACAGACGGTACTGGAGATCCATGACTRGTGGAGAGAGAGATGAAATTAATGTGAATTCTTGAAAGCCACTGCAGTCAAGGAAAAAGAAGAAACTCATCAGTAGTTTCTGTGGCAGTTTGCCAGTGACACAGTTTGTCCCCTTTTCCTATGCCAGCTGTCAGATATAAGCAGAGCATTCCTTTCTCCACCACCTCTGCTGCCCCTGAAG